ATTTCCTTAAATCATATCGATAAGAATGTACAAAGTTCTTCAATAGATTCAAAGGCAATATTTATTAAGTTTTTAGTATAAAATAGATGATATTAGATGATAGATAGTGTAACGTAATTTATGAACTGTTTAGTGGTGGTGTAAGAATATCCACTAGCCTATTTCATTCTGTGGGTGTCGAGAGTGTCGAGAGGCGACAGAGGGATACAAACCAGGAGATCGGCAGCAGCGTCTTCCGAATAACAACATATTATAGAAACATAAAATACAGAATACCATATGGGAAGCGTAATATAATCTGTTACCCATCTCAAGCCGAAGTTTTTGTAATAATGGGCTAAATACATACTTTATGGGGATTAATGACCTTCGATCGAAGGAACAGGAATTTTTGTTCTGCATTCCGTATGTTACAGCATAAGATATTGACTAAAGAAGCGACACAGCTGTAACCCTATCAGAAAACAGAACAGATACTATGGTTTTATTTGGTAGTTGACACCATAGTTATTAAATTAGTACGATGTATAATTTAAACTTACAATTACAAGAGATTTTTCAAACATCGGATAAAAGTTATTCATAAAATAAAATACAACAAAAACAAAAATAAAAAATTACGTTTGTATGTATAAGTATAGAAATAGTTCAATTGTTTTACTTTTATAATTATTTTAGTTATAATTTATTTAATAAATAACTATTATCTGACGATTCAAAAATTAAGAATATAATTTTTAGAATAATCTATACAAATAAATAAAATTGAAGTGTCTGTTTGTAATTTCAAAATACTAGCTTTTTACTAAATGCATATGAAAGTATATACGGTACTTATAACAACTACTCAATTTTTAAAATTTTTGTCTGTCTGTCGTTCTGTTTGTTCCGGCTAATCTCCAAAACAGCTGGACCAATTTCGACGGAACTTTCACCGGTAGATAGCTGATGTTATAAGGAGTAACTTAGGAAAAAAAGTATTAGGGTTCCGCGCAACATAATTAAAACCCTAAATTACACGCGGGCGAAGTCGCGGGTAACAGCTAGTAACATAACAATAATGTGGGGTGATATAAAGAATATTCAAATTCAGTCGACTATACCAATCATTATCAATGTATATAAATGAATTCCAAGGCAAGCATAATATCCCTTAATAACAAATGAACTAACCTACATGAAACACGTTGAACTCCCCGTCTGGGAAAGCATTCGCTCATTAAACTTATCAGCACAATTAGAGGTAATTGGCTTAATCACCGGCCCGCCATTTTTATACGGTGACATGCCACATTTTGGATACTCTTAATATTTCGCTAAATTTTAACAATAATCTTTATTTTTTAATACGAGAACAAATTTATTTAATTTTTTCTTCTTCTTCTTATTTTAAATTTTTGGGATTTTTTTTTTGTAATATTAGTGTGACAAACGAGATAATATTTCACTTAATAGTACGAAAACCCCTGTTTACTGGCTCCTAAGCGGCAACAAACCAGTGTCTGCAAACCATTGACACGAAAGCAAGTTCAAGCAAAGAAAACCACGGACGCGTCGTTATCCCTGAGGACTAACATGAAATACTTCTTACTCCTGGGTGCATTTCTACTTGACAGCGGTAATATGTAAAAAGGTGGTATCACGCCAAAAATACTCCTAAGTAGAAAGGTAATACACCTAATAAACAAATTAACTCTACTTTTTAATGCCAGAATTTTAGTTTTACATAACGGAAAAAGATATAAAACGTAATGGATTTATATTGAATTTTCTATGAAACATTTTTAGAAAAACAATGTAATTTGTTCATAAACAATTTTATAGATTTAAATTCATATAGCGCATAATTATTTTCGTCACGCGCTTTTAAGTTACTGCATAGAACTAAGGCACAGCTGTTACACGGTTCCTAAAATCCAAAAGCCTAAAAAATATACAATTACGGGCCGTGATAATTTACGTTCTTATAAAAAATAAAACTCTAACTTTATTTAATTTTTTGTTCAACATAATACGACGTAATACCGGCCTTCCACTGAAACCAAGGACAAACCGCCACCGCTACCATCATTAACAATCTATATTTTACCCTAATTCCCCGGCCCGTACGCCCACTCAGTCTAAGCGGATTGAAAGCTTATCGCCTTACTGTATTGCTCACCTATATTCTTACAATGGCAAAAAAGTTATAAAAAAATAAGAACGGTATTTACTCAGAAAAAAAATATTACAAAGCTCTGATCCCTGAGGCTTTCCTGGGCGGTTTTTCGAATTCCGTGACTCAAATAATTAAGTCAGTAGACGGGGGTCGCCGGGTGAAATTATACATTGTTATTATCACTATAAATTTTATTTTGGTAAGGTCACTCGTTCGGAATAATAAATATACGATACTTTATACTTTTAAAACAAATCTGACTTCGTGGCAATACTGCCTTTATTTAATTCACAATAAAAATCAATAGAGCGTTATGTATTGCAAACGAAAGGAACGTTATGAAGGCAAAAAGAAATCAGTTCGTTTCGATAAACATTGCCTACATAACGTAGAAGAGAGGCATATTCACGAAAGTGTAGACGCGATCATGCTGTAATATGTCAACGTCAATCATTATGTAACACTTGTATTATAAATGCCATAATATGCTCAAAAATACGCATATATCATATAATTGTGTGTTATGTAAAATTGTTATTAATTACGTTTAATAATGTACCACTTAAACAGTCAGTGAAAAAAAAATCTGTGTAAAAGTAACTTCAGTTTAGTTTTCATAACATTACTTTATAAACTTATTCATGTCTACACGCTCTATTTCCCTAATAACAATAATTTGAAATAGATTGGAAAATCGTAAATGCACGCCTTATGAACGTTTTTTTTTTTTTTAAATAAAAACGAAAATACATTACTTTTAAACGGTGTTGAGTTCAATTACATATAATACAATTATAATTCGTTACTTTAAATTACTTTATTCTTCGTTTAGTTCTCCATCATTCGTCGTTTATTATATATATATATCGTCGCCGATTATTGCCTGTTAATTTGCAAATTTTCTTTCAAATTTACTGCTAAACCTTTCGTGTACGTTCTACGTTCCTCATCCAAGAATACACCAGCTGGCATTGATTATCTGGAAAAGTTAACATGCTCATGGTAAATAAACAGTACGCGAACATTGTTAATTGCAATTTTAAATGCTAATTTACGACGTGTTCGGCGGTGAAGGAAAACATCGTCAAACCTACATGTCTAAAAGAATAAAAAAAATATATAGAAAACATGTGAAGTTAGCCAATAAAGGAGTGCGGTGGACACTTCCGTGCCCTAAAACTCTATCAGCAATAAAAGTGGTGCCCTGGAGAGGGACTTTTATAGGCTGTAAATTTACCTTTTTTACATGACAAAGTAGCACTAAAGATGTTAAAAGTAAAAATCTAAAATGCTTCTTCTGATCAGTAATATGCTTTTCTTCGCGTATTAATGCAGTAAAAAAAAACCAGATTTAATGCGAGCAAGTAGTGTGACCTTGTCAAGCCGACAGTAAAGCTTTACCTCTTCGCTTTGCGTTCGAGGTGTGCAATTACAGCCTATTTACGCTTTACTGCTGAGCTCAAGCCTCTCATTTCTGAGAGAATTATGGAGTAATTAGTCTTCCGCGCTGCTCCAGTACGTGTGTTCGATTCCACATGTCCTCGAAATATTATATTCATTAGACATGCACGTTTTACCATGATGGAAAAACATACATGTGTAAAGAACTTCAACGCCAAGCACGTCGCAAATTTTAAATTGCGATTAGATATTTTATTGGTGCCTGTGGCGATCCCACCAAAACAGCTTGAGTAATGTGAAATTTTATAGCGAGTGCTCAGCCTACTGCGCTATAGCTCAGGCTACTGCAGCTCTATCAGATGTATTTAAATCATGGCTCTACCACGTAAACTCACGTAAGCTGCAACATGGCTCTACCACGTGTATCTACTTCAATCAACCAACCACCTAGTCATTTGTTGCTATCATATTATATTATATGTGGTATTATACGTGTTATTTTATTCGTAATAGCGTTACGCTGCATATTATGGATGTAGCACGAATTTGTCGGCTCGACCGGGGAAGGACCACGCTCTCACACACCATATGAAACACAGAGCTGCAATAGTATGCTGGTAGCATACTATTGCAGCTCTGTGTTTCATATGGTGAATGTAGAGAACCGGACACCCTTTTCTGAAACCGAAGCATTCTATCTTAGTCCTCACAGGTGGCAACAAATCTGCATTTTGATTGTTAATTGAACATGTTTATGTTTATGGGCCACATCAACAGCTTACCATCAGGTGAACTGTGTGCTTGATTGCCACCCTTATACTATTTAAAAAACATAATGTCTCGACGTTTTGCGAACGAGGTCTATTCAGTCTATTTAAAAGGATGTATGTACGCTAAGAGTACGTTAAAGGTTAGTTAACTTTTTGATCTCACATATATCAAGAAGTAATGATCCCACCAAAAACATAAATGTGAAATGGGATCAAATTCGGTACAATGACGTTCGGGGTTGTTGGATTCGGCGATAAAAGAGTTGAGATCTGAACATGTACCAAGTTTCACAGCATTCTTTAAATCATTTTTTTTAATTGAAACTAATAACTTTTTTAACACGATTTTACTAGATTCGCGTGTATCTATCTATGTAACGGAATCTTTTGATGTAATATTCAGCAACTTGTAGACGATGAGTATTGACTTAAAAATTTGCTTGTATCAAAGACTAATGACAATACAATAATTTAATAACTTCATCCTAGTACATAACCTGATCAGGATCACCAGTATCGTTACAGCTCATGATCAATGCGTGATGTTTATGTTTTTAAAATGTTATATTATTATTTGGTTGCAGAGCAGCGGCGGTTGTCGTTCGGCAAGCGGAGCGGGCGCGGGCGCGGTGACGGTCGCAAGTGCGGGCGCGGGCGCGTGCGCGGCGCGCATGGCGAGCGCGGGCGCGCAGTACCGCGGCGGCACGCAGCAGTGGGCCGCGGCCTACGCGCCGCAGCCCTGTCGCTACCCGCCGCCGCAGCCGCAGCCCTACGCGGCGGCGCCCAGCCCCTACACGCCGCACCAGGTAAATACAAAATCCCTCTTCTTATCTTCACCGCCATCTCGCATCCCGACGTTACTCGCAATGAGGACTAATAATCTTCCGCTCACGTGATGTCGCTAAAGTTTTTTCTTACCCAATGTCATTTAATTGTTAAAGTTAGTTTTAAATAAATTTTATAGTATGTACACGGTGACTTAAAACCACCTTTAAGTCTCGCTCATGTTGAACTTAACTACGAGTATTATTGTACGGTGTGTTTTACTTAAGCCATGCGTAAAATTTATAGTATTTTATAATTTAAAAAAAATTAAACATTTATTGAAAACATAGTTAGTAACATCTATTAGAATACTTCAAATTACAAACAAAACATTAAATTTATCAATAAATATAAAAAAATACTTGACATAAGGTCAATCAAATTTCTGGTACATTTTTAGCTTGAACTTTATTTTTTAAAGTACAATTATTAAAAACATAATTACTATTACTACCATTTACCGTCACATTACAATTACTAAAAAATAGATCGTTAGACCGTTAGACATTTACATATAAGTCAACATCTGGATCATACAAAACTGTAAATCGAGTATCGTTGCACCTTTGGTCCCGTTTAATGAAATTGATGTTGTAATTCTTGTAGTACTGATACTTTCTGATTCTCTGTATTTACTAACAAAACTTCTTCATCCGGACATGATGTTGATATTTTAGATCTAGAATTCTCAGAAAGAAAATTTTTGTTTGATTTTAATTTCAAATAATGTTTACTTAAATTTGAGTAAATGAACATTGACTGGTAGATGATGTAGATGTAGTTGGAAGTGATGCTACGAAAATACTTGAGATTTTTTAGATTAATATACAGTAGATTTTTTCTTTAAAAACAACGTTAAACTTATAATTGCCAATATTTACTTTATTTAATCTATTTATATCTTTATTATCATTTATTATTCTACAATTTTTAAATTAAAAAAGATATTTTAAATCACTTATACTATAAAATAATGTACGATACACAGAACTTAAGTTACCGATTATTGTGTGAAGTTAGCGCTCTCGCTTCGCTCATACGCTAACTTCACACGGTTCAATAATGGGCTACTTAAGTCCTTTGCGTCGTAATGTACTATTATAATATATATCAGTATAATATTGTATCAGTTTCTAGAGTATTAGGTATATTAATACACACTACAATGCCTCAGTGGTTTGTTTTTTAATTGCTTTGTACACTTAAAACTTTTTAAACTTTTCTACTTTTAAGAATATTTGTCCTTTGATTTATTCATTTCTAACCGAATTAATATAAAATTTAATTATATTAAAGAAATGGATTAGTAAGCTGAAGTGGCAATTGGCCGGCCATATAGCTCGAAGAACCGACAACCGATGGAGAAAAAAGGTTCTCGAGTGGCAGCCTCGTACTGGTAGGCGAAGTGTAGGGCGACCCCCCCCACTAGATGGAGTGACGACCTGGTAAGACATGCAGGAAGTCGATGGATGCAGGTGGCTCAGGACCGTGCTTTGTGGCATTCCTTGGGGGAGGCCTATGTTCAGCAGTGGACTTGTGAAGGGCTGTAATGATGATCATGATGATGATTAAAGAACAAACATTAAGTCTTACATTTTCCTAACAAATTACCTTCCCTGCTATGAAATCTGCTATGTGCCAATATTCCATCTCAATCCAAAGTGTAACTTAGGGGCGAATTTTCATCAGATAAAATTTATACAGTAAATAAATTACAACCAGACTTTTTTATAGAATAAGGTTGACAAACGAACACACAGTCCACCTGTTGGTAAGTGGATGTTTTGGTCCATAGACATCTACATATATCCTCTATTAAGAATTAAACTATTAAGAATGATGATGATGCAGACGCGTTTCCACCTCTGAGGACTTAGATGGAATGCCTCGTTTCCAGTAAAAAGGATCTCCGGTACTCTACACTCGCCATACGAAACGCAGCTGCTTAAGCTTCTATTTTACGCTGGTATTCTGTGAGAACCGTGGTCCTACCTTGGTCGAGCCAACCCATTCGTGCTACAACCATAATGTAGCTGCAGCATGGCTCTACCATGTATCACGTTCTATAAAATCAGACTGAATATAAAAGTGAAACGATTAAACTATATTATTCATACATCTGTTATTTTTAATATGTATATGTTTTGGTTTATGTTAAGAATAACTTTTACCTGACGATTGAAAAATCAATGCTTAGTTTTGTAAAATTGTTAATTTTGTTAGTTTAGGTTAATATATGGGATTTGTATTAAGCGCTTGGCATTTGTTCAAATATACATACACATGTTTACAATCCACACAATTTTGTGGCGAAGATCTACAATTTATTGGAAACACAACAACACAAAATGCTGTATAGCACTTGTGTTTCCGTCAAGGTATCCGTAGGTATCCTGTTTGCTTGTCGTATTTTATCGTGTAATTCAATATTCACCCCAAAACGCCTGCCACAACATAATTATATAAGCTAAGACCTAATAACATTTAATATGATATTCCAACATTCTGATACTATTACCTGATAAACGGCGGCAGATAATAATATCATAGTAAGTTTTCATTAATTAAATCTATATAATTGTTGTTTAAAAAGAAATTGTACAAATGGCTCAACCAAAATAATTTCTATAGCGCAACACAGTCATTGGATAGTAAAAATTAGATTATGTATTGGATAATATTTATTATAAAATTTTCATTTAAGTATTGTTATAGTATTGTTACAATAATATATATTTAATTAAGTTATGCGACTTTTTACTAGATATTGAAATTGACGATGCTCACAATTGACATTTAACTAATTATTGTAATGATATTAGTCTATATTTTATTTTTAACTAAATCAAGTGACTAATTGTATTTCAAATAGCTTAGGAAATATATGCAATTATTTAAAAATATTTGCATGCTATGTAAAATAAGCAAAACATGAGCGCTCCTTTTTACATTTGAACAACATTTATACCATGTTTTACGCAAATAAAGATTATTATTATTATGTAATATTAATTATTAATTTCTATATTCTTCACCTCTTCTTTTTCACCAGCCCGTGAAGATCCAATACTAGACATGGGCTCCTTCCGTTTTAGGGAGTATTTGCCACACTTGGCAAGAGTCCAGACATCTCGCTCCTTTGACGCTCCTTAGAATAAACAAGATGGTTGGTTGTACATCGCAAATCTACTTCTTAGATCTTTCTGGCATAACCCATAGTAGCCTCTTACGAAAAACAGCACCCATCAGACGAAATAGGGTGAAAGATTACCCTAAGTCGCGACCGCACAGCAAATAGTTTCGTTAATACTATACGTTTTCCGTAAAAGTACGATTCAATAATTGAAATCAATTCAACCTAACATTTTTAACTAATTTAACAATTAAGAGAATTTACTTACATCGACTTTATAAAAACGTCACATAAGCACCAGGCTTCAGAATTCTCACTGCTCTTAACATCTCTTCTCCACTTAAATATCGACGTTGCAATGCAATAAAATGTAAAATTATCACAATCAACCCAAGTTGAATGAAAAAGATGTTTAAATAGCAGTTTTAAAAAAAAATAACAATTACTTGAGTGGAAAGTTCGCTCCACTTAGTTCAACTCCATCTTAACCGCCGACACATTTTATTTTTTCTTTTATTTAAATTTGGATTCAATCTCGAATAAACGACGAACAATTGAATAATAAAAACATTTTTAAATTGGCCAGTACTTTTTTAGTTGGTCAATTTTTATTTATAAACGATTACTTACAGAGGAATGACTAAAATACTCACCCATTTTCCTACGCGAAGTTATACTGATCGATTTTTCAATTTTTTCTTGCAAAAAAATCGTAATCTTTATCATCATTACAGCCCTTCACAACTCCTAAGCATCCATTGACTTCCTGCATGTCTTACCAGGTCGTCACTCCATCTAGTGGGGGGTTGCCCTACACTTCGCCTATCGGTACGAGGCTGCCACTCGAAAACCTTTTTTCCCCATCAGTTGTCGGTTCATCGAGCTATATGGCCGGCCCATTGCCACTTCAACTTACTAATCCGTCGGGCTATGTCGGTTACTCTGGTTCTACTGCGGATATCCTCATTTCTAATTTTATCACGCAGAGAAATGCCGACCATAGCCCTCTTCATAGCTCGCTGAGCGAGCTAAAGCGTCCTCATACGGCCAGCAGTGAAGGACCATGTCTCAGATCCATAGGTCATCACTGGCAACACGCACTGGTTGTAAAGGGTGTCTCAGTAAGAGTGCACTTTTTCATTTTAAAATAAAAACAAGTATTTTATGACAGAGTTGTGATATTTTTATTGTATTGTAAAGAAGACATGTTCCGATTAAGTATGGAATAAAATATCCGGCAAATGACCCCCACGGCTCCGATGACAGGCCATTACTCTTTTCATGAAATTTTCCATGACTTTTGCACAGAGATGTGGCTGTATCTCACCGATGACGCGTTGGTTTTTGCGATTTGAGCTCAGGAATTGTTTCGGGTTTATTCGCATAAACCCGAGATTTCACAAAACCCCAAAGAAAAAAATCGCACGGCGTTAAATCACACGATCTTGGTGGCCAGTTGACATCAGAGTTTCGTGAGATAATGTGTTCTGGAAATCGTTGCTGTAATAAGTCGATTGTTTCATGCGCGGTGTGGCAGGTTGCGCCGTCCTGCTGAAACCACATGTTGTCCAGATCCATGCCGTCTAGTTGAGGCCACAAGAAGTCCGTTATCATATTCCTGTAACGAATGCCGTTCACAGTCACTGCAATTTCGGCCTCATTTTCAAAAAAGTAAGGTCCAATCACGCCGCCTGACCAAAATCCGCACCAGACAATTACTCGTTGTGGGTGCATTTGTTTCTCATGGATTGCATGAGGATTTTCTGAGTCCCAAATTCGACAATTTTGTGTATTCACGAAGCCATCCAAATGAAAATGCGCTTCATTGGAGAAAATAACTTTTTCCGA